TGAGTTCTGGGATGATATCATTAAAAAGACAAAGGAGAAAGAAAAAACCAAAATGGATGTCAGAAGAGACTGAAAATTGTAATACAGGATCAAGAAGTCAAAACAAAGGAAAAATATGTAAAAGAGCTGTACAGAATATTATAAAGGGCAGCTTGAGAAGACAAAGCAAAGTATTTAATAGAATGTGCAGAGAGCTGGAATTGGAGAACAAAAAATGGAGATCTTGCTCTGCATTTCTCATGCTGAGAAAATGGAAAAACAAATTTAAGCCTCGAGCTGCAATATTGAATGGTGCTGTATCTTGGAAGGGCAATATATTGAATGACCCAGAAAGCATCAGAAGATGGAGCTGGAATTGGAGAACAAAAAATGGAGAGCTTGCTCTGCATTTCTCATGCTGAGAAAAAGGAAAAACAAATTTAAGCTTCGAGTTGCAATATTGAACGGTGCTGTATCTTGAAAGGGCAATATATTGAATGACCCAGAAAGCATCAGAAGATGGAGAGGGAAGAATCACTGTACCAAAAAGAACTGACTGTCACTGGAAAATTTCAGATAGGGCTAGAACTGTATACAAATATGGAATGGCCAGAAGTTCAAGCAGGATTTAGAACAGGCTATGGTAACAGAGATATCATTACTGATGTCAGATGGATCCTGGCTGAAAATAAAAAATACCAGAAGAATGTCTATTTGTGCTTTATTGATTATGCAAAGGCATTTGACTTTGTGGATCATAACAAGTATGGCTGACATTGAGAAGAATGGGAATCCCAGAGCACTTAACTGTGCTCATGCAAAATCTAGAACTAGACAGGAGGCTGTTGTGCGAACAGAGCAAGAGAACACTGTTGTTGTTGTTGTTGTTGTTGTTGTTGTTGATATGTGCTGTCAAGTTGCTTGAGACTCATAGCAACCCTATGTACAACCCTATGTACAACAGCCCTATCCCTTGCCAATCTTAGTATCTCCGACACGCCTACACCATTACCACAGTGATGGAATCAATCCATCCCATCGAGGGTCCTCCTTTCCTGCACTGTTCCTCCACCCTCCCAACAATGACATCCCTCTTGAAGGACTGGTCCCTCCTTGCAACATGTTCAAAGTGTGTCAGACAGAGCTTCAGAATCCTTGCCTCTAAGAAGCAGCCTGGTTTCACCCTCTCCAGGATGAACCTGTTTGTTCTCCTAGCAGTCCATGGTATAGTAAATACTCTTCTCCAGCACCAAAGCTCAAAGGCATCAATTCTCCTTCTATCATCTCTAGTCATTGTCCAGCTCTCTGATGCCTAGCAAGCAATGGCAAAGACCATGGCCTGTATCAGGTGCACTTCAGTCTCTATACTGACATTGTTGCTCCTCAGTACCTTGGAGAGGTCTCTGATAGCAGACTTTCCCAATGCAGTTTCTTGCTTCTCCCATCTCTTTCTCTCTTAAATTAATTTTAATGAACGTTTATAGAGACTTTGGATTTCCATTCACAATTTGTCTTTTAATTTTCTGGCTGCTGGTACCAAGAGTGTTGATTGTAGAGTCAAGCAAACTGAAGCTGTCAACAATCTCAATCTCTCCACCATCTATCATGATGGTGCCAATTGGCCCAGTGGTGAGAGTCTTTGTTTTCTTGATGTTGAGCTTCAGTCCATATTGAAGGCTGCAATCCTTGACCTTCTGCAGAAATCACTTCAGGTCCTCCTCAGTTTCAGCAAGCAGAATTGTGTCATGTGCATAATGCAGATTGTTGATTCTCAAAAAAAAGAGAGAACACTACCTGGTTCAAAATTAAGAAGGGACTGTGTCAGGGTTGCTTTCTCTCTCCATGCCTATTCAATCTATATGATGAGCAAATTATTTAAAAAATCTGGACTCTAAGAAGAGGACCGTGGTGTCAGGATCAGAGGGAGACTCATCAATAACTTGCTTTATACAGATTGCTTAATGAATGTGAGGAGGACTTGAAGCACTTGTTGCAGAAGATCAAAGAATGCAGCCTTCAATATGGATTGCAAATCAGTGTCAAGAAAACAAAGATTCTTACTATTGGACTGAGAGGCAACATCATCATGGATGGAAAAAAGATTGAAACTGTCAACAATTTCATCTTACTTGGATCCACAGTTAACAACATTGGTACCAACAGTCAGGAATGTATTGCACTGAGAAAATCTGCAGTTAGGGACCTCTCCAAAGTATTAAGAAGCAATGATGTCAGTTTGAGAACTTCAGTGTGTCTGATTCAGGTCATAGTCTTTCTTCTGGTAACTCTCTATGCATCTGAGAGCTGGGAAACGACTAAGATGACAGAAGAATTGATGCCTTTGAGCTTTGGTGGTAGAGAAGAGTGTTGAACATCCTATAGACTGCTAAAAGAATAAATAAAAATGTCTTGGAGAGAGTGCAGGCAGAGGCAACGATGATGAGGTTTTGCCACACATACTTTGGGCATGTTACTAGAAGGGGCTATTTCATAGGGAGGGACATGATTATCAGAAAAGTGGAAGGTAGGTGAAGGAGACCCTTGGCCAGGTGGATTGACACAGTGACTGCCACAATAGTTTCTAATGTGTCAGGACATGTGAAGATGGCACTGGATAGGACAGGATTCAGATCTGTCTCTGAGTTGTACTCGATTTGATGGCACCTAACAACAACAATACACATCTTGATATAAAGTTGATATAAAGTTGGCAACATGCAAATTATTCCCCGATAACCAAACTGACAGATAAGTGTTATCCCTCTTAGAGCAAACTGTAAAGACAATCAAACATACAAACATTATGACAAAGGAAACCCTTCTCAGACCACAACTGAGGACTATAGTGGAGTGGCAGGATGAGTTCCCAGGTAGGGATAATGGCACAGACAGTGGCACAGCCAAATAGTTAGTAATGATTCTTAGTATATAGGTCCAAAGGCCTGAAGTCCCCCTGCTGGGGCTCAGAGATCCCACCCCATCGTGGGTTAGGTTTAGAGTGAAAGAGATCCATAATTATCCCCATTCCCAAGAAAAGGGATCCAACATTATGCGGAAATTATCATACAATATCAATAATATCACATGCAAGCAAAAAAGACCATTCACAAGTAGCTAGAATACTACAAAGCTAGGGAACTACCAGAAGTTCAAGCAGGATTTAGAAGAGGCCATGGCACCAGGGATATTACTGCTGATGTTAGATGTATCCTGGCTGAAATTAGAGAATATTATTTGTGCTTTCTTGACTATGATGAATGTCTATTTGTTCTTTATTGACTATGCAAAGGCAGGTGACTTTGTGGATCATAACAAATTATGGCTAACATTGAGAAGAATGGGAATCCCAGAACATTTAATTATGCTCATGCAAAACCTATATCTAGACCAAGAGGCTGCTGTTCCAATGAAGCATGGGACCACTGCATCATTTAAAATTAAGAAAGGAGTGTGTCCTTTCTCTATACCTATTCAGTCTGTATGATGAGGAAATAATTCAAGAAGCTGGACTCTATGAGGATAAATGTGGCATCAGGATCAGAGGAAGACTCATCAATGACTTGTGCTATATAGATGATATAATCTTGCTTGCTGAAAGTGAGGAGTTGAGGTACTTGCTGCAGAAGATCAAGGATTACAGCCTGTGGTATGTACTACTCAATGGCTTGCTTAGTCAATGAATTTGAGTTTGCCACATGAATGGGTGATATCATGACAATAGGATATGTTAGTCTATCCACAAGGGGTCTGGCTAGTCTTGTCATTATATTGAGTGGAGTCACCAGCAAAAATTTGGAAATCTCACCACCATCACAAAAGAAGCAGAAGAGAATGGAGCATATGTCCTTGAAGGCCACCAGCAAGGCAGGAGCAGCTGCTGTATTATATAACCAGAGACCCAATGTGAGACAGAGCTGACCTTGGGACTGCTCCCCTGCAGAACCAGAGCCAGGAGACTTTGCCCAAGTTTGTGGGAGAACTTGGGGAAAATAGCACAACTTGTAGGACTGAAAGATATTTGGACACTTACCTAAAGCTGCAAGGTTGAAGACTGCAGAGCCTGCATACACACTTCAGAAGCTGTCCTGACAGAGAAATTGTATTCTGTTGCCTACCTGAGTTGTAACCTTCTAACATCCTTAAGAATGATGAGTCTTCACCTCACATACTTTGGGCATGTTGCTAGGAGGAGCTATTTCTTTTAAAGTGACATAATGCTGGGAATGGTGGAGGATCAGCAAAGGAGGTGAAGACCCTCAACCAGGAGAATTGACACAGTGACTTCTGCTATGGGCTCTTGTGTGTCAGGAAGTGTGAGGATGGCACAGGATAGAACAGGGTTCAGATCTTTTGTTTATAGGGTCTCTATGAATAATAATCGATGGCACCTAACAACAATTTCCCTAATAAACTCCCTAATTTTGAGTATGCACCCTATTGCATGTCTATTGTAATGGATTTTAGATCGAGTAGGGTAGAGAATTTATGCTGGAATTAGAGGTGTGGGAGTGTGGAGGCCATGTCTGACATAATAGAAACTGGTTTTGTGTCGTGGATACTGTAGGTGGGGACAGTTACCCCTTGTGTATTTAGCAGTGGTCAGACTTGGCCATCCCCACATTGCCCATGCCGCTTACACTCTTTTTACAATATATAAAAAATGTACATAAGGGGCAGAATTACAGGTATTTCTTAGACATAGACAAAAATCTTGCAGCTAGGAGACAACAGTTTGGTCACTGGAATGGGAGGAAGGCTGACCTAAGCAAGAGGGGAGATGCTGTCACAGAGGCATGCCACCCTTAAGTTCTGTGATGAACCATGACAAAACGATCAAGTACACATCAGGCATCTGTACTGAGCCCTGTCAGGTAATGATGCCTAAGGCACAGTGTACCTAGAAAGTTTCCCTGGCTGAGGATAAAGGGATGACACTATAGAGCCATGGAGGGCTGATAGTGGGGAGTTGGCAGAAGAATTAGGCTGTTCACTGACCAGTTTTTCTCTGCATCACTCCATAGCTCATCAACAATGACAGTATGGTCTTCACTGAAGCGCTCTGGGATCATGTCACCATAGAGGACCAAGAACTGTGCTTCAAAACCTGTGATGTCATCAAAGTGACAGATGTCACCAACAGAGAGTGGTAGTGGGAACGTGTCACCGATGGTAAACGGTGGTGTCCAGCCACTTTTGTACAGGTATGAGGCAGTTGGAAACAGTCTCAGGCTCTCTACACATAGAGGTTGCCAGACCTCTCCCCATAAAAAGCCCCAGCCTGACACAGCCCAGGTCTCTAGGGTGCAGGGCTGGACCTCACACTTGCCCCCATACCAAAACTGTGTGCATGTAGGCTGAAGACTGGGCAAGGGGCTGGAAGGTCAGTAATCTCTCCTCCAGAACTTCTTTCTTCCATGACTGGGTCACATCCCTTGCTCTTATGGGTCAGTGAGGAAAGCTAGTTGGAGAAGGCTGGTTCTATGGACATAGAATAACCCCATCACAGATAAATGGCATCAATGTGTTTGCCAGCACTGTATAGAATATTTTACATGGGTTATTTCAGTTTACTTACAATCCTAAAGTGGGTACTGGTCCTTGCCCATGAGAAAAGGAAAGTGTGGAAGTTCTGTGATTAACCCAAGAGATCACAGCTGGGGACTCAGAGCTACACCTAAGAGCATCTTGTCTTCAGGGAAGAACCCAAGTAAGGTACACTATCTGAAGGCTGAGCAGGGGCAGCAGGAAGCACCTGCTTACCTAGGCCATTTCTCTAGTAGCCCATAGCCTTCTGTTCTAGACTCTTGAAAACCCATGCATGCTGCCCCTAAACCTCTCCCAGTGCAGTCAGGGTGCCAGCCAGGCTTTCTCAGCCTCAGAGCAGCTGTAGATGTGAACAGGTACAATTCAGAAGGTGTCTGAGCAATCTTCTGTGACAGTCACTGTGCTGAGCACAGCCACCTTTCCAGGAGGCCCTGGATGATCTTGACAACACTGGCAGTTCCAGATGCCTTCAGCATAGCGTCTGTGCCAAGTACTGAAGGCACAGATTTCAGAGTGATTTCGAGTTGCGTTTCCATTTCTGTGCAACCCAGCCTGTCTGACCCCAAGTCAGTCAGTCCTCTGCAAGCCTCAGTTACCCTGCTGTTATGCTGAGGAAGCCAGGTGCAGGGCTCTGACCTTTCATGAGATAATGGCCCTCCACTTGTCTTCTACAGCTAAGGGTAAACCAAGATGAGCCTGCAGATGGTGAGGCCTTCCAAGCCAGAAATGACAGTATGGTCACAGATGGCAAGGCCGAGGACAGTAGCTTGGGTCAGAGCAGTGAAGACCCGATGTGTGCCAATGTCATCAATGAGATCCTCAGCACAGCAAAATGATGTCAAGCACCTTCGGATATCTGTGAGGTGAGGGCCAGGCCAGGGCTGGGGCTTAGGCTTACAAATGCTGACAGCCTTTGAACTCCAGGGCTATATCAGGTAGTGTCGGAAGCATGCTGACATGTGCAGTGAGGAGAAGTTTCGCATCATCTTTGGAAACAGAGAACATCTACCAGTGCCAGAAGGCCTTCATCAAGGCCCTGGAGCAAAAGTTCAACCACAGGTGTCCACTCCTGAGTGAGCTGGGTGCCTGTTTCCTGGAGCATGTAAGCAGCACTGACAAGTCAGCACTGCCCCTTCTCCCACTCCCTGAGCCTGAATTGTGCGTGCCTCTTTTGAGACTACTCTGGGGTCCTGTCTCTGTGCTCTTATAAACCTGCACAGCAGGCTAAATCATGGGCACCTGCCTTCCTCTTAGAAGTTTACAAACATTGTGTGTGGACCTTGTCTGACCCACTTCCACATCCCTATTCATTTATTCATTCATCTAGCTAACTACCCTCACTCACCAACAATGTTTTAGTAGAACATGTGCTTCTGTGACACAAGCAGGGTATAGCAAAGGCCAGAAAAATTCCTTGGAGCCAGAGAATCTGGGTATTGGTTCCAAAGGATCTGCTGTAGCCAGAGGAGGACCACCTGGTAGAGTCTGTAGCCACTCACAACAAGTGTGTAACTGTAGATCATAGTGCTTGCCCCACTCTGTTCAGTCAGAAGCCCCTCACAGTGTTTAACTATGTTTTATACTGAGTTTACAGTGCAATTTCTGCTCTATTCATTCAGGAGCCCACCACAGTATGTAACTGTGGTTCATACCGTATCTACAATGTCTTATGCTATTCACTCAGGAGCCCCTCAACAGTATGTAACTGTGATTCATACTGCATTTACCCTGAGATCCTGCTCCATTCCCTCCATAGACCCTCAGTGTGTAACTGATTTGTACTGAGTTTACAATGGGTGTCCCACTCTGTTCAGACAGAAGCCCCTTACAGTATGTAACTGATTCATACTGCATTACAGTGTGTGTCCTGCATTATTCAGTCAGGAGCTCTTCACACAATGTAGCTGTTGTTTATAATGCATTTACAATGTACATACCACTCTATTCAATCAGGAACCTCTTGCAGTGTGTAACTGTGGTTCAAAATGCATTTACAGTGTGATTCCTATTGTATTAAGTGAGCAGCAGCACTTCACTGTATATAACTATGATTTACAGTGCTTTTGCCATGTATGTACCACTCTATTTAGTTTGGAGTTCTGCACAGTGTGTGTATGTGTGTGTGTGTGTCTGATTTATACTACATTTACAGTGTGATTCCCTCTCTATTCTGTCAAGAGCTCCTGACAGTGTGTAAATGCGATTTATACTGTCCTTACAGTGAGTCTTCATTCTAGTAAGTCAGGAGTCCCTCACAGTGCGTAACTGTGGTTCACATTGTCAGATTTTCCTGACAGTGTCTAGTTGTGGTACATATTGCATTTATAGTGGATGCCCGACCTAGTCTGTTCATTCAGGAACCCCTCACTATGTAACTGTGGTTCATACTGCATGTAAAGTTGTGTGTCCTGCTTTATTCACTCAGGAGCAATTCACAGTGTGTAACTGTGGTTGATACTGCGCTTAGATTGCAATTTCCAGTCTTTATTCAGGAGCCACTCACAGTACATTGTGATTAATACTGTGTTTACAGCATGTGTCCTGCTGTGTTTAGTCAGGAGTCTCTTGCATTGTGTATGTAATTGTTGTTTATACAGCATTTACAAAGTGTCCTGCTTTATTCATGCAGGTGCCCCTCACAGTGAATGTGACTTTTCTATAGCTCATGTCTTGTTTTGTTTCATCAAGAACACTTTACAGTGTGTAACTGTAGTTTATACTGCATTTACAGTGCTTGCCTGCTCTTGTCATTCAGGAGCCCCTCACACTGTTTAATTGTAGTTCATACTGCATTTACTGTGTGTCCCTCTCTATTCATTCAGGAGCCAGTGTATGCACTGTAATCTCTGCATTTATGGTGCTTGTCCCGCTGCATTACAGCAGGAGCCCTTCACAGTGTGTAACTGTTGTTTCTACTGTGTTTATAATTTTTGTCTGCTCTATTCACTCAGCTCTCCCAGGTGTAACTCTGGTTCATGCTGCATTTTTAGGGCATGCCCCACTCTATTCAGTCAAGGGTCCTTCACAGTGTGTAACTGTGATTCATACTGAATCTAGTGCATGTCCTGCTGTAGTCAGGAGCCCCTCACAGTATATAATTGTGGTTCATACTGAATTTACAGTGTATGTCCCACTCCATTAAGTCAGGAGCCACTCACAGGATCTAACTAGTTTATACTGCATTTACAGTGTGTTTCCTGCTCTATTCAGTCATGAATTCCAGCATGTTGATGTGATTGTTACTGCATTTATATTGCGTGTTCCATTCTATTTAGTCCAGAGTCCCTCAGTGTGTAACTGAAGTTTATTTTGCATTTGGTGTATGTTACTTTCTTTAGAAGCTCCTAACAGTGTGTATCTGTGGCTCATACTGCATTTATGGTGCATGTCTCACACTATTCATTCAGGAGCCCCCGATAGTGTATATCTGTGGTTATACTGCATTCACAATGTGTCCCCCACTCTGTTCATTCAGGAGACCCTCACAGGGTGTAACTGTGGTACAATACTGCATTAATAGTGCATGTCCCGCTCTATTCATTCAGGAGCCCTTTATGGGGTATACCTGTGGTTCATACTGCATTTATAGTCCTGGCCTGCTCTTTTCAGCCCCTGAAAGCGCATCTGTGGTTGTACTGCATTTATAATGTGCCCTGCTCTATTCACGGAGCGTTACTGTGGGTTCATACTGTGTTTACAGTGCATGACCCACTCTATTCCTGGTGGCATATAGTCAAGTCTCATTTGCCTACTCTGTTCTGTATACTTCTCTGGCACCCTTGATAGAATGTGCAGAATACTCAGTGCAGCCTCTCCAGCACTCAGGTCATGGCACTATCAGGAAGTCCCTGTCACCCCCACAGGGGTTACCAGGAATGGAGAACATGTACTGACACTGGCACACTGTTCTTGTTTGCATGCAGATAGTTGGTTTGTGCACCTGTGTTCAGTCACATCCATTTATATACTCAGCAGGCAGAATGGTAGCCTTGGGAGTGGAGAATGTGACCATGCTTTGCTGAGGTTGAGATCTAGAGACAGACATACTGCGCTCAGGAAGGGCCATCCTCTCATTTTACCTGATTCAGGAAATCTAGTGAATGAGCTGAGTTGTCAGGGCTACTCAGTGGTGGACTTGGGCCTCTATCCAGTTAGATGGAGAGAAAAGAGGTGCTAAAGTTGCACACACGCATAAGGATGTGGGTATTGTGTCCTTGTGTGGGGTAGCACTGGTGGTTGCCAGGGTGCAGGCCCTGGGCTGACAGACAGCTACAGAGTCTGGCACCCATGTGCCCTCTTAGCATCTGTCTCTACTTTCAGTGTCTATCAATCAGTAGTGCTTACAATATGCCTCTTGTTTTCAGGCTCCATACATTTCTTTAGCTTCACCCCTCTGATTGTCATCAGAAAATCTGACAAATTGTGTTTCAAGGAGGCTGAAAAAGTGGGGAGTGAAGGGGCATTCTAACTCTGGCTTTAGCATTTTCTCATCTTTGAGCAACAAGTGCATTTAGTTGGGCCCTAGTGACACATAACACAGGAAGGAGCTGGAGGACTAACACTTCAAGCAGAGGCTCCTGTTCTCAGCGGGCACCTGGCTAAGGCCAGGAGTGGTGACAAGACTTTGGGACAACTGTCCTAATCTCCATTTGTGTTCCTCCAGCAAGCAGATGTCTCTATCTACTCAGAATATTGCAACCACCATCCACAGGTCTGTGTGGAGCTCTTCCAACTTGCCAACCCCAGAAGTACATGTGCTTCTTTGAGGCCTGCTGGGTGCTGCAATAAATGAAGAACATCTCCCTGGAAGGCTTCCTGTTGATGCCAGTGCAGGTCTGCAAAAACCCTCTGCAGGGGCAGAGCTGCTCAGGTAGGCGCGTACAAGAGATCTCCCAACACCAGCAGGGCTCTGCTTGCTTCCTTTAGATAGCAACTGTGCCAGGTCGTGTGATAGACACTAAGAAATAGCCACAGAAAGCAAATCAAAAATTCCTCCTTCTATGGCACTGCTACTGGTGGGCATGGGGAAAAAAAGGAAGTGCCATTCTGAAGCTGTGACTAGTTCCAAGTGCCCAAATCTTCCTCCTGTCCTCTGCTGTGCTCCAGAGATTTCAAAGACATGGAAGCTGCTATACAAGCTATGAAGAATGTGGCCCAACTCATTAATGAGAGGAATCAGAGACGAAAACATTGACAAATTGCTCAGTGGCAGAGCTCCATAGAGGACTAGGAAGTGAGGAACAGAAGATCCAGAGATGAGAGTGAGGGAACTTGGCCCCCAGATTTAACACCCTTTTTGGACCCGAGACTTTAGGGGTGGGAGTAGAATCTGAAGCATTGTGCTAGCAGGCCTAGAGGTCCATGACAGGGCCCAGAGTCAGCCATTAGGTCCTCTGTTCTAATGAATGAAGAGTGCAGGATTCTTGTAGAATGGCAATGCCCCCATCCCTGGAATGGAGCCACACACAGAAAGAAGCCATTCTGCTGCTCAAACTACAGATAGCAGGCTAATTATAGGGGTTACCATTATTATGGGGCTCAGGCCTGACACAGCATGGCCAAGTCATAGTTAACAGCCTCCTGGTTCCAGTTTGCTGGAACTAACTTGCTTCCTGCCTGTAAAACACCACCACAGGCTGAACTGGGGTGCCATTCCTAACAGCCAGGCCATAAATGAGGACCAGGAACTCTCCAGTACCCCAGTCCTCCATCTGTTCCCTTCCTGAGAACCGGCTTCCTCAGCATGCTCCCACAGGGCCGTGCCTCAGCAGTGCTGTCCTATCAGCCAAGAGGACACAGTAGAAGTAGCTGTGTAATTTTATAAAAATATAGATGCCTGTGCCTCATTCTAGACAGTGAATTAGAATCCTGGGTTGGAAGGAAGTGGGATGTGTTGTTTTTCTCTTATTGTTCCCTGCTGACGGACTCTGAGGCAAAGTCCTAGTTAAGAACTCACACAACAAAACACCCAGCTAAGAGGCTGGGATGGTCCTGGGACAGGACAGGTTTAGTCGGCAAGTTTGAGGCCCCAACTGAGAGAATGCTAGGTTCTCCTAGAATGCATTTTGCTGTAGTAAAAAAAAAAAACAAAACCAGCCTCAAGGGTGACTTTCACCAAGCCTACTCACTTTGTACCTGTCATTCTGGGAGGTGGGGGTGGGGGAGCGGGAAGAAAAGTAATAGATGAAACAAATTTTAATGTGTTAACCAAAATATGACTTTGAGTCTAATCCCACCTGAATTTCAGAACCATCTCAGGAACAGGTTTGAGGCTTTGAACACTAATGAGCGAAGGCCAGAGGAGTTGTGGGAGGATATCAAGGGTATCATCCAGGAAGAGTGCAAACGGTCATTGCAAAGACAGAAGAGGAAGA